ATGACTGTCGGTGCGGTGCCATGACACCGTTCATTTACAGAAATTAGTTTATTTGACAAAAGCCTCCACGGGTCCAACGAGTATCACCCCGCAGCCCCAGGAATTGCACGTGAAATGCTTAATTTTAACTGTACCGATGGGCCAATGAGACCAGGCACCTACTCAGCAACATGTCTGAAGGATGCATTAATGGTTTGAGTCAGATTTATCATTTTCTGCACGTTTAAACGCATGCACCCCCAAATAATAACGCGATCTGGATGAGCATCGCAGATATGTCTGAAAATGTTGAGTTATTGATCAAAAGATCTTTGCAAGCACGCAAACCAGCTGTGATCAGAAGTAATTGGGATGGACTGAATGTGAATACACATCTGCCTGCCTGCAATGTGAGCACATACAGATGTGTTTCTACCTGGACGGCCGTCTAAATGACATTTAGATGCAAGCACACCGAGCTCTGCTCCCCATTTTAAACTGCGTTCGATTCGAAAGTGCGGTGAGACTGTAAATAACGCGATAAGCGTTTGAATTTAATTCAAACGTGATTTGAATTCGCGATCTAGCTACCATTAGTTAGCGGTTTAGCCATCAGCAAGCAAGGTAAAGACGGTAAACGTTGCTCACACAGCTCATTCATATACACCTGACTGTTGCATCAAGACATGGATGTCAACCCGCATATGACAAACAATCAATGTCAAATAGACTTACGATTTAATATTTATCCCCAAACGCGAAATTGGCCATGTTAATTACGGCCTGCTCGTTGCCGGACAAAGAGGGACAGCCTGAGTCGACTCGCGCAGGGCATGTGTGGAAAATAGGGGGGGTCGGGCTAAAACAAGTACGTGATTTTTACGAAATGTTTACGTTACTAGTGATATTATAGAATTGGTTTGTATTTTTAGTTATATAGATGGCATTTAGGCAAGGTAAACCTAATAAATGTCTGACACTGTTTCTGTAACTGTTCAATATTTTTCTCGCCGTCCCCCGTGTATTAATCATGTGGACTGATCGAGATCAGACCAATTTTGCGAATGAGGCAGAAAGAAATTCTGTTGTGCGTTTTGCAATCAGTTCACTGCAATCGGTATTGTTGTAAATTGGTACAATTAGACTTTATTTATGAGCTTGTGCAGTTTTGGAGGGAATGTACTCTGACCGTTTTCTAAAAAGAACATGTTTACCCCCGTGTTCATTATAGGCGCGTCTGAACGCTTGTATGGTTCCAATGCATGAGTGGAGTTGTAGTTTTAAGACTGCCGTTGCATGGAATCAGTTCAATTGAACGTGGTTTTGTTTTATTTGTTCCCCCTCTCTCTCTCTCTCTCTCTTTATAAATATACAATCTTGTTCTAAATAAAATAAAAAAACTTTAAAATTAAATATTTTATGTCATTGCATTAGTTTTTATGTCAAAAGCAGATTTGTAGGCATTATTTATCAACTGCATCTGAACAGTGATATCAAAAATCGAATAATAAAATAATTACAATTAAATGAATTTAGAATAATTGATGAAAACGTGTTAGAAATTGAGATACAACTAGAAACGAGTCAGAACAGCTCAATTCAGTGCACCGATGGAGGTTTTCTCTTTGCACTAGGCCTACTACTGATTTAGGATCAGTCCTCCAAACTCAAATCATAAAGCAAACATTTTCAGCACAAATGGCAAAACTGTGTTCAGATCAATTCCATAACCTTCACTGCTTTGGATCTCAAGAGACAACTAAAATGTATTATTCCACTGACTCTGCTGCCCTCTTGTTGTCGAGTTAACACAGTACATGCCCACTGCACTGCACCCCTGAACTTGGTTTCTTCAGTAGGGAAAGAAATTAAAGTCATATAACGGTGCCCATCTGACTAAAAGTTAGCGTCTGGCGGCCTCTATTGGTTATACAAAGAACCAACACTGCAAGTAACATTGGGACGTCAATTGTAAAAGTATCAGGACAATCATGCCAGCACTCAAAACAAGTTCACAGCTGTTATTGTCACTTAATTTACTGGGACTGTCTGAAACCATTTCTGCTTTGAATGACTTGAGGATACTTTCACACTGCCCTAAAAATAGCATAGTTAGGTACACCCCTTGTAATAAGATACAAGTGATGCATTATATATGAACTTAGCATGTCTTGTAAATCTATCTATCTATCATCTGTTTGTTTTGCCACTTGCATTTTTTACATTTTAGACTTTACATACTGTAATTACAATATCAGGTCTGTTGGCTAATACTGAACCAATTAATGACCCAATGGTTATTCGCTCCCATTCTTTAGAAAACTTTGATGTGGAATCATCTTCATTCAATCATCAATGATCTTCATCTTTGCCATTTTCTTTTTCTTATGAAAAAAAA